ATATTTCCGTAGTATGATCTGATGTGAGTCCTTGGACAACTTGTTCCCTTGTACTTCTCATAGTCATGGACTTTGAATTTTGTATGGATTTTAAGTCCTGGAACTAAGCATATATCAACAACATCTAGACTGACAGCATTATGTCCTTCCATAGATTTCATCCTTTCCTTTAGAACATAGAGCTTTTTCTCAGCTTCAGCAATTGGGAGCCCAAGAGCGTCGAGTGTTGGGTTATCTTTCAGGATGAAGAAGACATCCTAATGACCGTCCTTTTCATACTGATTGACAGAAATCCCGAGTGTAGTCCTAATATTCTGATTCAGTATATCTCCTTCTGGAGGTGGATTGTTACTGATCGGTTGTCCGTTTGGTGGATTCACTAGTGGTTTTATAGGAGGATTAATAGCACCGGGCCTCATGGCATCCTGTCTCAGTTCTTCTTGACCTCTGGCTATAACCTAGATTGTCTCCATGAGCTGACCAATTTGAGCCCTCATGGTGGTCATGTCCTCCCCTTGCACAACTTGATTATGTTCAATTTGATTCATTAGCAGTCTCACGTTATTGCGAGTAACATATGAATGTCAATGTATTTTTTTTGCGACGCGACAAGGATTATTATAACTTGTTATACTAGTGAAAATTCAGGATTGTGTGAGTTCTTATAAATTATTAATATTATGTTATTTTGCATTTTTTTCTTGATTGTATTCTTCCTCTCTACTAAATTGTTATTTCAGAATGAGTATGAAAAAAGAATTATTGAGAGGGACTCATAATTGGCATCCGAAGATGATGTTTCTAGTCATCAATCTGACAACATCATCTTCTTAGATGTTGTTGGAAGAGTGAACCAGAAGGTCTGTTTATATGGTTTGGGACCATAAATAACAAAGTACCAGCCGTTTAGATCTTCCACATCTGACAATATCTCACCACCTGAATATGAACAAATGAGGAATGTTATTTATGATTAGTCTATTGAAAATAAGACTCTTAAAGAGAAACTTAAGACTCATGAGGATTTGATTCGCGCATCGTAGAAGACTCATGTTTGCTTAGATAACACTACTAGAAATACAGTATTTAGCCTCGGCCATTTATCGACACTATAAGGCAAAAAACCGCCGCTACTAGCCAATTAGCCTCGGCGTAGCGTCGGTGTCGGGGAAAGGCTAAAATGATCGAAGCTAATATTTAGCTTTGGCCAAAAAGATTTGTGTCTACAGTAGCCTCGGTTTAGCCGTGTCTACATTAGCCTCGATTAAGCCGTGTCAAAGACAAAAAATAGCCTGGGTCTGACCGAGGCTAAAGTCAAACTCCATAAGTCCACATAATATTTAGCCTTGGGCCTGGTCGAGGCTAAAGGAACATTTTGCCTCAATTTATTCGAGGTTAAGTTCAAACTTTATAAGTCAACAAAATATTTAACTTTGGCCTAACCGAGGCTAAAGTCAAATTGTAAAAGTCAACAAAATTATGCCTGCTTTCCAATTGTATAATCTATACATGCTGACCATGTTTTCCAATAATGACAATTATGTCATGTCGTGTTCTCCTTCAATCAATTTATCAAGATCATAAATAATTTTATGTTTTCTCCTTCAGAAAAACAACTAAAGAATAAAAGCACATATAACAAAATATAGATAATTAGCAAATGACACATAAAATTCAGAAGCAAAAAGACATTATGCTTTAACATATAACACATATGAAGTAAGAGTTATCAAAATATTACATAGATTGAAACAACAACAAAAAAAGTAGTCATAGCTACAACAAAAAACAGCCCCAAAAACTCGGAATACATTGAAAATCATGTCCAAAAAAATTTACATCCGAGACTACTTCTACTAACACTGCATGATCAATCTTCACTTAATGATTGGTCATCTAAATCATCATCATAGTGAGGATTTGACGATCGAATGACAACACTAGCAGATTGACCATTTGTAGCATCAAGCTTCTGCATGATAAATGCCTTCAAAGCATTCAGTTCAGACTCCATCTTCTTAGCAAACTCATTAGACGCTTGATATTGTTCTGTTGCCTTCCGAGCAATATCATTTGACGCCTGAATAGCTTTGGTAGCCTCTTCGAGTCGAGCTGGTGTAGCTGCAGCCAATTGTTTAGCTCTTATTCTAGATGCTCTCTTTGATTCAAAGGATGTCCCAAACATAGATCCGCGGGAATTTTGAGGTTGTTGGATAAAAGATGTAGATCCATGCTCCAGATTGATAGCTAAATTCGCTGTTCCATAAACCCGACCATGACTACGACCCCCAGCAGACTCTGTCCATAATTTAAAAATGGTCCTTCCATCTAACCTCTCGACATCATCTCTAGCTTTTTTCTTAAAAGTGGACTGTAAAACAGAAAAATGAGTCATTTCTAAATATAGAATTCTTATTGTGCCTGCATGAGTTATACAAGAGTTATTGTGCCTGCATGAGTTAGTTCAACATTTCAATAATTAATGACTTTACTAAAATTTCAAGTTATTGCAACTTTGACTCATACAAATCATTAAAGAAAAACATAGGTAATGAATCAATGCCTTGGATCTCAAACTCATGGAATTTATGTCCACAACAATCCTTCTCTTATTTTTGTTTCCTTACTCAGTCATCTGTCAACAATTATACCTTAACACAACTGTCACTGATTGCTCAGACAACCCTTCAGCACCAAAAGGATACCTATGCAATGCCCCTCAATGGTCATCTTCATGCAATTCATTCTTAGTTTTCAGGTCCAAACTTCCTTATGACAATCCTATAACTATTGCATACCTTCTTGGTTCTGAAGCATCAACCATTGCTTCAATCAACAACATCTCAACAGATACCAAACTTCCTTCCAATAAAACAATCATTGTCCCTACCATTTATTCATGTTCTGGAAATATCTACCAACATAACACCCCTTACATTGTCCCTACCCTTTCTTATTTATTTATTTTTGGTAGGAATGCACCAATTGAAATTAAGTTCATAATTAATTAAAACTTACGTATGTAGACTCAGCACGATGATCAACCCATGCTCCACTTTTCCTCTTATGGGTCTTTAAAAATAACTCATTAGGGCGTACATCCCTTTGAAGTTCTTGGGTCTACAAACATAAATTAAAGTAAATTTGATGGTATAAATAATTAAAGATTGAAATAAAAATCGACTTTATTACTTATAAGCTCAAGCGCTACATCAACATGAGCCTTACGACCTGAGGTGTGGACTGCTCCTCCTTTTGCTGAACTTCGATTAGCCTTGCTTTGAGAGGACAATTTCAAGAACGAATCACTCTTCCAATAAGTTTCAAGCTCATTCCAGGCATCCTCACCAATCCATGAAGGACGGGTCCCTTTTAACCTCACCTTCCTTATTATGTCATTTAGTCGAATGACTGCCTTTGAATAAAAGGCTTTCCTGACAAACATCTCATATTGAGGATCCCATGAAACCTTATCATTTGAAACTTTCAGACTTGCACATTGTATCAGACCCATAAAGCACAAGCTGAGGCTTTTAGACAAAATTCAATAAATACTTACCGCAAAAAGAGCAAACCATTTTTCTTTAACATCAGTGGAAACTGCTGTCAATTATAGAAACCCCTATAAAATTGTTTGTGTATCGCATAATTAATGGCATTTGCTATTTCTTTGGCCGGAACAAGCCTACAATATTGAATGAAACCAATGATGTCATATGATATAATGTAGAAACCAATGATAATGTTGAAGCCTGTTACAATATTGAATAAATATTTTAAACTTACCCGCTACCACAAGTTTGTATAATAACCTTCCCATTATCATCCCTTATTATCAAATGAGGGGGAACATTACCTTCACCCACGACCACCTCATCTGCGTCCTCATCCTCAATTTCCTCTTCATTTTCCTCCATCGGAATCTCACGTGAGGCATGATCTAGAGGAACAACCACATTTTGAATGTTTAAACCCGGAGTAGGCATAAACCTAAATACCTAAGAGGTATAGGCATGATTAGGTGCAGATGACAATGTAGTCTGCAATGGTGGTACAGCCTGCGGCACAGGCGCAGTCCGCAAAATAGGTGCAGTCCGCAGGACCGTGCAGCCCGTACTGGCAATGGATTCGGAGCAGGTGATGGAGTCGAAACAACCGAGGGAGTCGGAGCCGACGATGGAGTCGGAGCCGACGATGGAGTCCGAGTTGTTGGTGGAGTCGGTGTTGTAGTAGCTTGTGATGACTGAACAAATGTAGATTTCTTTCGAAACATGCTATTCCGATTATCAATAAGCTTTCCAGGTGCTAAGCACTTAGATTTTCCTTTTTTTGAATTTTCCTTTCCTCTCTCACCTCCATTTCTGTTAGTCATCTGTTGTCATAAAATACAAAAAAAAAAATTAGACAAAAATATAATAACAATTGAAGAAATAACTATAAAATGCATCTTAAAATATTTTTGGAATTCTCAGGTGATTACAAAATGCATATAAATGCATCAACAGTTGGAATTCTCAGGTGATTACAAAATGCATATAAATATTTGTGTTTCTCATTGAATATAAACTGTATATAAATGCATATAAACACTGAATATAAACATTTGTGTTTCTCACTAAATATTTGTGATTACAAACTGTATATAAATGCATAAATTTTAAGAATCAGTTTGTTAGAGCAGTAAATTTAGAGCAGTAACAAACTATATACAAATTGTATATAAAATGCATATAAACAATGAATATAAATATTTGTGTTTCTCACTAAATTTAGAGCAGTAAATTCTATAAATGCATATTTGTGATTACAAACTGTATACAAACTGTGATTACAAAGATAAATTTAGAGCAGTAACACTTAGGAAAAAGAGAAATGATAATATCATATCCATTAAGATATTGGAATACAAAATACATATAATAAACCATAACATAGTTGTGCATCTTCAATCAATATCCTATCGTTGCTTCACTACGTATCAAAAATCTCTTCAAACACATCTACTTGTGTGTCGTCACGCAAACAAGATATTGATTCAATTTCGATAGTGGGTAGAACGACTGATATGGCATTTCATCCTCTATGTTATCAATCATCACATGACCCCTTGGTTTTGTGGTGATTGTCGCACACCATCCACGCACATCTCTACACATTTCTGGATATGGGACATAATACACTTGTCTTGCATTTTGCGCAAGGATGAAAGGATCATAAGGACGATAACGCTTATCCATCTTAATATCAACAATTTTATATTGTGGGTGAACCTTTGTTCCTGTGTTCTTTGTTGGGTCAAACCATTCACAATAAAAAAGTGGAATCTTCTCCTTCAAACCAAAGTAATCTAGTTCATAGATATGTTTGATTATGCCATAAAAATCATCTTTTCCTCCTTCAGCGAGACCTTTCACGTGGACACCACAATTGACAGTTTTTTTTTTACCTTTACTCCATTCTTCGGTATGAAACTTATACCCATTTACAAAGTACATGTTCCAAGAGATTGCCAATGATGAAGGACTGTGTGATAAGGCAATTATGTCTTTGTTGGTAACTCCATTTGTCTTCTCATTTACATATTTCTTCAACCATATGGGAAACTCTGTATGTATTTGTCCAGATGAATCTTCTATACTTATAGAATGACTCTTTAAGAATATGCTGCAATCAACCACATAATTCATGAGTAAATATTTATCATAATATGCATCAAGATCTTGATTGATGTATTATGATGCATACTTACTCAAGATATGGTTTGACCTCATCACAATTTATCAAGACATGTACATGTGAAGACTTCCATTCCTTATCTGATAGATAATGTTTTCCAGACTTCCCACTTGGTCGACCACCACTTTCTAGGAGGGACATTGTAGGTAGGATGTCATCATGGTCTAAACGAGGATTGTTACAAATATTTATGTTTGGCAACAAACCTAATGAGTTGAAATAATGAGAACAAAAGTAATTTGTCTCACGATGTATATAATTGGTGCATATGGAACCTTCAACTCTAGCCTTATTTGTCATTGCCCTCTTTGAGACTCCCATAAATATGCACATTCAATCATACCACATCTATTAAGTTATGATAAACAAGTAATTACTAAATAAAAGCAACCACAACCATTACCTTTCGAATGGATATATCCACCGGTACTGTACTGGACCACCTAACATTGCTTCTTTAGAAAGATGGATTGAAAGATGCTCCATTGAGTCAAAGAAACCAGGTGGAAATATCCTTTCTAACTTGCATATGATAACTGAAATGTTCTCATCCAACTTAACTAAGTCATCCATCCTTAATGTATTACAACAAAGGTCTTTTAAGAATCGACTTAGCTCGGTTAATGGTTTCCAAACCAAATCCGATAACGAACAAAATGCAATTGGGAGTAAACACTCCATGAAACGTGACAATCATGGCTCTTCATCCCATGCACCGTACCCTTTTCGACATTGGCACACCTAGAGAGGTTTGAAGCATAGCCATATGGAATTTTCAATTCCTTCAGCCATTTATAAACCAACTTGACTTTAGGTTTGGTCAGAGTGTAGCTTGCCTTTGGTTTACCCCTCTTTCCATTAGTTAATGGTTGGAGCTCTAAGTCCCCACAAAAGCATAATTTAGCCAAGTCTTCTCTCGCCTTTTCATTATCCTTTGTTTTATCCTTAACATTCATGACAGTGTTAAATATATTATCAAATAAATTTTTTTCTATGTGCATCACATCAAGGTTGTGCCTTAACAAGTTATCCTTCCAATATGGGAGATCCCAAAAAAATACTTCGCTTTTTCCAATTATGATCAACTCCATACCCTTCAAACTCTTTCCATTTTTCTTCCCATCCAATTTCAATCACTTTTGGAAAATTACTTATTACTTCCCATATATCTTGACCTATGGAAACGGGAGGTGGGTCGTCTTTCACAACCCTATTTTTTATGAAACTTCTTTTACTCCTTCTGAAAGAGTGATTAGTTGGCAAGAAACGACGATGACAGTCAAACCAGGAATTCTTATGGCCACTTTTCAAGGTAAAAGCATTTGTGTGTTCCATACAATGAGGGCATACCAGCTTACCTTGTGTTCCCCATCCAGATAACATACCGTAAGCCAGAAAATCATTAACTGTCCATATCAAGCAGGCTTTCATGATGAAATTTTGTTTCGTGGATATATCATATGTCAAAAATCCATTGGACCATAATAGACATAGATCATCAATCAATGGTTGCAAGTAGACATCTATCTTCAATTTAGGATTGTGAGGTCCAGGTACGAGACAAGCAAGAAACAAGTATGGTTTGGCCATGCACATTTCAGGGGGAAGATTGTATGGAGTAACTATTATTGGCCAACATGAGTATGGAGAAGCAGATGCTTGAATGTAAGGAGTAAATCCATCTAAACACAAACCCAATCTTACATTTCTGGGTTCCCTAGCAAAGTCAGGATATACATCACCAAAATGTTTCCATGCTTTTCCATCAGACGGATGACGAAGGACGTTGGAACTATTTTTGTTCATTTAATGCCATATCATTTCAGTTGCCGACTCGGTTGATGCATATAGTCTTTGTAATCTAGGAATGATTGGAAAATAAAACATCCTCTTCACTGGGATATCTTTGTACTTTCCCATTCCAGTCTTGCGAGGAATGAACCTAGGAGCATTACAAAATTTTCACTCAGACAACTTACTATCATCCTTGTAGCATAACATGCAACCATTCTTACAACAATCAATCTTCTTAACCTTTAGCCCTAACTTAGACACCAACTGTGATGCTTGGTAATAGTTCTCAGGCAAACATTTTTGAACTGGACATACACTTTTAAGCATTTGTGCAACAAAATCTAAACCTTTTTGTGGAACATGCCAGTTAGACCTAATTTCAAGAAGTTGAGTAGATATTGATAACATAGATTGGGTAGCTCCCTCATCGATAGGCTTGTTGAAAGATATCAACTTGTCATAAAGCTGTTTAGCTTCTTCGTTGGGAAACTCATCCTCCACAAATTCCTCTTGTTCCATGTTATCATTCGCGTGAGAGTAACCTCCATGAGGCTTAAATGCATCATACACCATTTAATACATTGCCTCAAACTGGTCAGCTTGACGCACATGTTCACTACTATTTGAGCCACCCTTTGTATCAATATTAAGCTCCACTTCTCCATGTTGAGTCCAAATCCAATAGTCTGGTTGAAATCCATCTCGATATAAGTGAAGTCTTACATTAGTTGCTTTACTTATCTTACAACACTTGCAATTTATGCACGGACACCTTATCCCTCCCTCAGATTTACAAATGGGTTGATTCAAAGCCTTCTTCACAAACTTTTTAACCCCACGAACAAGCTCCTCTTTCAATCCGTGTCTATCGGAATATGCTCTATTATACATCCAAGTACGATCCATTTTCTATATAGCAAACAATTAACATGTGAGTCACTAAACATTAAAATATATCTTGTCTAAATTTAGAGGAACCAATATGTTTAATGTTGTTCCAATTTTTGAACTTAACTGTACTCAAAATAAATACTAGTACATTGTTGATCAACTATAATGACATTAATTAAAAAGGGAGTGGGAACAATACATTGTTGTTCCAATTTATAAAAAGTGATGTTATCCAGTCTTATGGCAGGTTAAAAAGTGATGTTATCCAGTCTTATAAAAAGGAACCAATATGTTTAGTGTTGTTCCAATTTATCCAGTCTTATGGCAGGTTAAACTATTCTTACAAACCATCTGCGATTAATAATATCACATAGATAAATTTATTTATCATATAATGATGTTATCCTATGTTGCTTATGATGGTTTTCTTGTTTCAAACAGTTGAATCTTCCTGACAGATTCGATATCTACATTACTGGTCTAATATTTCTCCAAATGGTGAGTATCAAATAATGAGGAAACTGATCATTATCTTCTGTTGCTCTTATTTGAATCAAACTGGTATTCTATTCTATATTGCTCGCAATTTTGACCACTCTCATATAGGCATTTCCTGGTCTGCGCACTGATAATAGTCTCTTACAATGATAAATAAGTAACCATGGCATATTATTATCCACCACGGTCCATTCTATGACCATGGAATTATCCAAGCACCATGGAATATTCTAAATCTAATAAGACAATAAAAGTAACAAAATAATAGAATAATACTGTTATATACCCTATATTATTATATAGAAAAAACCGTGAAAACCAATGCATGATGAACACATAGCCTTATTAGGTCCTAATTCATTCAGTTTAAATACACTCCACTCATCTCCATTTGAACACTCCCTTTGATCACTCACTACCTTGTTCAAAAAGTTTGGAACAGATCCCTAACCTTGTAATTTTCTTTTTGCAGTTGTTGCAAGACAGAGTTGACAGAGCCATGGATTACTCCGTTGCGGAGTTGATGTCATTATGCAGTGAAATAATGGATTTTCATGGAGAGATGATTTTGCTAGAGAACTATAGTGCACTTAATTACACAGACATGTTTTAAATTCTAATCTATGATCTCATATATACATATATATATATATATATATATATATATATATATATATATATATATATATATATATATATATATATATATATATATATATATATATATATATATATATATATATATATATATATATATATATATATATATATGAATAATCTAAACTTGTGTGTTTTTTTAATTCATTTGAGAGAGAAATTTATCAGATTCTATAGATTATGCAGGTCTAGTGAAGATAATAAAGAAACACGATAAACGAACCGACGTTCTCCTTCGCCTGCCTTTTATTCAAGAGGTGTTAAACCAACCCTTTTATCCTAACGAGCTCGCTGAAATTGAAAATATGGAGAATTTATTCATCAAACTAACTTCCTGGTATTCTATTCTATATTGCTCACAATTTTGACCACTCTCATATAGGCATTTAGATGGTGGAATAGGTTGGGAACTTCTGACTTCAATGGTTCGATACAAAGTGATCAGTGCATCTTTATGCACATTCTCCTATATTTTTACTTAGGCATTTCTTTACTTTATTTTGATTATTCTTATGTTTTGTTATTGATCTGGCCTGATCAGAAGGGGATCACAGGATGGCCACGCTCTGTTGGACTGCTACCTATTCACCAGTGATGAGGAGGAGAAGGGGGGTGTACCTGCAAGACACTCTGATGGCAAAGTAAGGAATTGGGAAGAGTGAGAGCAAAGTACAGAAAAAGGGTAAGAAGTGAATTACATGACCCTCTTGTGAAATGAGGTATTTATAGAGAGATCCCAGCGCTGGGCCAACGGTCACTTGTGTTGGGCTGGATTGCCAGGCCCAACCCAGGGACTGCTAGGGCTTACGTGGCATAGTGAAGACCAGAACGTGGTCTTCGCCCTAGTTCGACTGCTCTGTGAACTCCGGAAAGAGGGTTGACCTGCTCTTTCGGAGGTGGGCAGTTGGTGGATGACGTGTTCCCGCAGAGGGGAGTACGTGGAGAACGTGTGAAGGACACGTTGTCCTGCCCGGCAAGGTGCGGGTTTTGCCCGCGGAGGGCAGGTCTTACCCGCGGAGGGCAGTGTTTGATCGATGGAGAGTCTCCTGCCCGACGTAGTTGGGGCAGGTCGTTCTCGCGGGGAGACCTATCTTGCTCGTCGGGGACCTGCGCCTGAGTTGTGGTCCAAGGTGGGCTGGGCTTGGTGGAACACTATTGGGTTAGGCCCGTGTGGCCAGACCGGGGCCCAGGCCAGAACACGAGCCCCCCAAGTCGAAGCTCCGAGGAAGGGAGTGAGGACTTGATGACGTCGTTCCGCGGGGTGTGAGCACGTGTGTCTTTCCACGTTGTCGGTTGCCCGGGCTCGAGGCCAGGTGTAGGCGGAGGAATGTGAGGGGGCGCGACTGTCTGCTTTTACCATGTGTCGCACACTGGGTGGCTGCTAGGGCGGCTACCCTAGGGTACTCGAGTGCCTAGGGACGCTTCGAGTGCCGCGCTGGGTATAAGTAGGCGAGCCCCCGCTCATTCTTCACTTTTTCACCCTCTTGTTCTCAAGTCTTCTGTTTTGCTGTCCCGTCATCGTCTGTTTCCTCCGCCGCCACAGCCGCCGCGTATTTTGCTGCAGATTATATCACAGTAAGTTTTCTTCCTTCTTTCTTCAGTTTTCGTGTTCGTTTTATGACTGTGGTCGGGGCAGCTTGAATGCCCTGAGGAGAGGCGAAGATCTCCACCGTTGTAGGGGGTTTTCTAGGGTTTTTATTATGAATGTCCCAGGGAGAGACGCTAGTTCTGATGAATGTCCCGGGGAAAGAAGCTTTTTCCGATGATTGCCTCGGGGAGGGATTCTTTACTCCGATGAACGTCCCGGGGAGCGACGTTTATTCCGACGAGCGCCCCCGAGGAGGGTTTGTAGGTTGGGTCATGCTGGTAACCGGGGAGGTGGTAGGTTAGGGTAGATCCACCGGGGACGATGCTCGGGGAGTTCTCGTCGCCCTTTCACTTGACTTGCGGTGGAAGGGTGAATTTGATCTCTGTCATCAAATTCACCGTTACCTTCTGCTTTTCAGGTGTTAATGACTACGCTTGTCCTGAGCACAGTGGTCGAGGATAATGAACTGGATGTCCCACATTTTGATGAGCGCGCCGTTCCGATCGGGTACTGGGTGGCCGAGGAGCCTTTAACTACGCCCTCCTGCTTCGTTTCTGATCCGACAGGGGCCTACGCCACCGTGGAGGACCGGGAAGAAGGGGATCCCCAGAACTGGCAAGTCTATCGTCCTCGACCAGGCCACCGAATCTGCTCAAAATATGGGCGAATGCGCTTCCCTATGTATGAGTTCTACTTCAAAGAGGCCAGGCTCAGGTTGCCATTTTCGGACTTCCACCTGGGCCTTTTCGACTGGCTGAGGCTGGCCCCGTCGCAGCTGCACCCAAACGCCCTGGCTTTTATTCGGGCCTTCGAGCCCGTGTGCCAATATCTCCAAGTCGGCGTCACGTTGTCGTTGTTCTTTCGTATTTTCCATCTGCAACTGCAGACGGTGAGTGGTCGACATGGCTGGGTGTCGTTCAAGCAGCTGGACAGGCTTTTCAGAACGTATATGGATTATGTCCGGGACTTCAAAGGTCGTTTTTACGTGGTTATCCCGATCACGCACGAAAGGGTTTGTTCTTTATATTCAGAAGGGGAGAGGATCGTGGATGGTCGTCGCGAGGCTGTCATGCTGCCCTGGGTGCACGTGGAGTGGTCTCTGGAACACTATTCTTGGGGAACAGGTCGATATATCGTGCGCGCGGGGTCGCTCGACGACGAGGACATGGCCAGCTATCTGAAGATAGTTTCGTTCGTGTGCAATTTACCATCGTCGAAGCTGGTCACCCCCGATGGCCGATATATCCTCGACATCTATGGGAACATTCGCGAGACGCCGAGGTTGATTAATACAAAGGCCCTGCTCGAGTGTGCCTCAGAGGAAGATGCCCTACGCTACCTAGGTGGTGGACGCCTCACCTTCTCACGACTTTACACTCTTTATCTTTTGTTAACTGGCTTTCTTTTTTTGCAGGGAACATGTCTTCTATCGAGGAGCGGGTGAAAAAGTTGCGCGCCTCAAGAGTCGTTGTTCCTCCAAAGACGCGGGTCGCCCAGTTGATCGGGCAGTCTTCCGCTGAACAGGACGGACGAGGGTCGTCGGCGTCTCCGCCTGGCAGCCAGTCGCCTACTTTGCAAGGGGCCCCGAAGAGGGCGAGAGTTCAGGAGGATGCGCCCGTGGTTGACTTATCGGCGGATTCTTCCGAAGAGGGTTACGCCATCGCACCTTGTCACCAGCACCCCGGCTATTTCCATGGGGCTAGGTCGCCCAGTATTCCTGTCGGGGAGGCAGAGGCGATTTTGAGTGCTGACCGGGCCATGCGGAGGCAGGTCCTGACCGAGGATCTGGCCGCGCTGATGCGGACTTTCACTACAACGATGGTTCTGAGAGAAGAAAGTTGCTCGGACATCGAGCTGTCGAAGCTGCAGGGGGACCTTGCTTTCACGCAGTCTTGTCTGAACAAGGCAGTCGAGGATCTGGAGGTGAGTCGGGGGAAGGTGACTCAGCTGACTAAAGAGCTGGAGAAGTCTCGAGGGGAGGTGGCTCTTGAGCGCAAGAGGGGCGATAACGCCGAGGAGAAGCAGAAGGTAGATAAGGAGGAACTGCGGGCGTCGAGGGCTCGTGTGGTGGAACTCGAGGGCGACCTTTTTCCTGGCGACGACGAGACTGATGATGACCGGCTGCTGGTTACCCGGGCTGACCTGCTCGCCAGGATACGGGTGTTGGAAGGTGATTGTCTGGATGCTTTCGCCGCGGGCTTCAGTGGTGCTGTCGCGCAGCTTAGGGTGGTAGACTCCGGAGTCGCCTTCGTCGAGGATGGAATCGGGCCCT